GTCATCAAACTTCAGGGCACACTCCCGATTCCTCACGAGGCGGTACGTCTATCTAATCCCTTTTCCCTAGGTCGTTGTTTTATCAGGCATTGGTGTACAAAATCTCTGGAGTAACCATTCGGGGAAAATAAATCAAACAAATAATTTAGTTTGACCCGGTAGGGTTCATTGTCAGAACAGTGTACTTTCGCTCGGCGTAGTGAAAAGATGTGACTATTTATACGAAGTGGCTACACATACCCTTGATACAGGACACAGCTTCGCATGAGACAAAACAGACATCGTCGGAGTGTGCCCCTCCAAAAAAGGCCGATAATTTCTTGACGCCACGCACTCCGATTATTCGTGCATCAACCGCCACATAGAGTTAGATAGTACCTCAAATAAAGATTGAAGAGACGAAGGCCGTACTACACAGACTGATAGAGGCCACACCTACGAATCAGGTCTCACACCATATAAATATCGATTGTTCCACACGTTTGAAATTTTGGTTGTCCTTTGCACATTTCTTGTTAGTTCGAAGACAAGCTGGGGAACCAGTCTCGAAAATTCACCGATTAAAGTTACCTTTATAGCCCAAAATAATATTTTTTTCAAAATAAACTCAAGTACTAGACAACCCATTCCAGTCTTCCTTGCCCTTACCGGGGATGTCCTTCTATATACTCTCCAAACTTAATCGCTGGAGTACTAAAACTGCACTTGCCCCATAACAGAAGCAAACCACAAATGATCTGTCAACATGAGGTTAAAAGCGACAGACTCACTTTGGTGAATCGGAAGACTTTTCGGGAACCAAGGTCTGCGTTTTGGTCAGGAGATCCTGCATGCGACGGTGTGCAATATCGCTTTCAAGACACAGCCATCTATGAAGGACGTCTAGTCGAGTCAGCACCTCAACTGGACGCAATTCATGCACGGGGTAGCAGAGACCATCCAGACGGGTCTCGAAGTTGAGCACTTCGTCTATGAGATGACCAAAAAGATCCGGATCCGTAGCAAGAGGACTCGAGTCTAGGCCGCCAGGTTGCTCTTTGGACGCCTCATCAACCCTGCCGGGATGGGTATCGTTGGCTAGGAGGGGATTCGGCGGTAAGAGGGTGTGAACGGGAATAGCACGAAGAAGAGAGCATAAAACTGTGTGCGTTTTTAGAAGTGTGCTTTTTGATGGACCATGGATTCAATCGATAATAACGCATAAAAACTAATGCCGATAAACTTCATCTAAAGGATAAGATGGTCGGTACCTGTCAAGAGAGGAACAGAACAATGCGCTTTGGGTGGTTTCGCAATGAGACCCAGATCAAATTTCATCTTATCAACGACGAAACCAATCAGGCCGCGCATGAATTCAACCTATAAGAAAAACATGTTAATCTGTTAGTTGCGCCACATGTGTCATTGAAGCCGTTAGGCAGTAAAGGAGTTAACGTTCTAAGACATAAGAAATCGTGGTTTGAAACACCATCATCTCAGGAATTCATAGCCCTGACGTCGGGACGCTGAAGCCTTACGGTGCGATTTCATAAAGAAAATTGCGTATCTCATGAAAAGTCACCCAAAATTATGAAATATCCTTCCCATTTCGACAAGTAGGGTTCTTATACTGATTCTCGCATGGCCAAATCTCAGTAGATTTCAGTCTCGCCGGGATTCCGTCTTTCTAATGAGCTTCCTTCTGTCTACCTGCAAAAAATGCACTCCATAAAAAAGTTCAAATTGAGTATTGCTTTTCAATGCTATTATAAAGTTAAATATAATTTATAGAAAATAAGCACAAAAATAATCTTCCTTCGGTAACTAAGTACGCCTTTTTCTAGTTAAATACTTGCAGAAGAGGTATTCTGCGGCCTTAAAAAATTTTCTAATCGTGAGGTTTTTTAAGAACACCAAAATTTAATTCGTAGTACATCGCATCCGTCAATTTATTAATGTTGCCTATACAATATATGATAGTATCCACATCCATTGCAACATTTTATGAGACCTATGTGGCTTCTGCAACTTAGCGTAAATAAGTGTCTGATTTTCCTTGGGCAGAATGTATACAGTGTATAGGGTGGAAATCTTGAATACAAGTTTAACGGCCGACAGGGTTCAAAATTATTTATTATTGCTTTCTCAAAACCAAAGGATACCCCTTTTAAGTAAAAAAATTAAAGAAGGCGTATGTTGTAAGCAAAAGAGCACAAGAAAGAATATTCTTGTGCATGTTTTCCATAAAATACACCTGAATTGACAAGAGTGCACATTTTGCAGGCGAACAGAAGGGAGCTTGTTCGAAAGCCGGCATCCCGACGAGATTGAAATATCTTGAGATTTGACTGCATAATAATCACTATTGCGACCCTAATGAAGTAATTTGGCGGAATCGAAAATAAATTTCCTATTTTTAGGAAATTTTACCGTAAGACAGAGAATCCAGAATGACCATTTCTGCCTCATAAGTGTCGTCAGCTGGATATACTCTACTCAAGTGAAGCAGCGAAAATTGCCGCCACCCTCGAGTTTCGAACCCGCGTCTCTCTGGTCAGAGGCAAACACCCTGACCATCGAGCTATCGGGCTTGACGTCTTGACGGTTGTTGATAGGGCCTATACATTAGTACACAAGCGTACACCGACCAGTTACAGGGCACTGTAGCTGGTCGATGTACGCCTATCTACTAATAAATTTCCTAATTTCGTATGGCATTTCATTAGACAGGCAATAGACTGTACAGCACCCAGGTGAGTTGGTAACAGGCGGAGGGAGGAAGTCATTTAATGGCAAACAATAGTAAAGATTATATTAGCAATTTCGACAGTGACTTTTCGTCTATTCCGAAAATATTTGAGGGACTTCAGGATCTAAGAATGCAGGAGTATAAAAACAGAATAGAGTAAGATGCAGAAGCAAAAGACGCTTCGACACTTCAAATGTTAATCGTATGTTTTCACATTTAGAATTGGGTCGATCTGTGAGGTGCTCTTGTAGCCTTTCATAATAAGTATCAAGATTGGCATGGTAGGACAACTTTAAAAAAACGGACTAAGACAGCAAGTAGGAATACTAACAAAGACGAAAAAGGACCGCATAGTCTATTCAGACTCTAGTTGAACTAAGAACAGGCAGTTAGGTTCAACCTGCCAGATAACGTCATAGCATTACCTGCACGCAGCAAGAGTATGTTGTCTGACATGCAATGCCTATCTTATACGACATGGCGATAAGTTTACAGAAGGGTTAGATGGGTTGATGAAAGTCACCAACACGGTACTCTATAACTACCTTGGGTAAAAAAAGTCGGTAAGAGTATGTACTGGGGCCTCAGAATGGTACTTATGTATTATACCCACCTAATTAAAAATTTAAATAGGTTGAATTTTCAACAATCTTCCCGTTTTAGAACGCCGGACGTTGGTCCAGTAGGGATTGGACGATGATATTGAACTGCGAAGGGGTCCTCGGAAGGCCCCCATGTTCAATAGCTGCTTAAGTCGGTATATTAAGTAAAATGGCTTTTCAAATTAACCATGGGAATTACCGCTTACTTACTAATTTTAAGCTGGATGAATTTCCAAAATCTACCAAATTCTTCACTTATTTGCCATTATTCTACTTGGGGTTAGCGATACTACAACGAAATGTACCTCTATGACCTCGCCCGAGGTCAGCGGGCACCTCCTCCACCCCATACACGCGCTCGTCGTTGGTCCAGTAGGAGTTAGCGATGATATTAAAATGTACTTCAGTGTCCTCGACCGAAGTCAGGGGACATCCTTCAACTTGCCCTCGTAGGATTATTGCGAACTGATTTGTTCCCTGTCGTACCCCGACCATCCCATCCCCTAAAACCCGGTGTCCGTAAGTCCGATGGGCGCGCTTCGCGCCGCACTCAGGCGGCGCCACGACGGATTCCTACCAAAGTCTTAAGCGAACTTCCAGTTGAGCAGTCTACTGCACCAGCATCACGACCTCCTTCACTCACCGGGGAACACTGGCATTATGTGAAATTCTGGACTAATTAATCTGACGTCTGGCCACAAGCAGTAGGGAATGTAATCAGTTGTATGAAGTCTAGGCATGTAAAGTGCTTAGAAACCGAGGTGGACCAACACAGTGACGATTAAGGATGAACAGACTGTTTAACACCAAACATTTTATCATAGTTAAGTTGATGAGGTGGCAGTATGGCAAAAAATGTCAGTCTTCGAAACGCTATAACGAATATGACCAACCATAGGCTTGGCAGATCGAGCTAAAAACCAGATATCTACTGGGCAGATTTATCCTGAGGTAAGAATAAACTGAAAAAATATGAATTCTGCACCGCAGGTGACTTCCACTTACACGTAGAGGACTAGAGGGCAAAGGACAACGAAGATGCTCATCTTGAATCCATGTTAACCATTGGTCATTGAGAACCATCCACGTTTGGACTTCTGTGAGGTACCATTCGGGCTAGAAATTTGGTTTACATCAAAGTGCTGTTACCACCAGCTAAAGGCCTGATATTAAGTCTTTTTAGTTAAAAAGGTACTCGCAAAGTCAGGAAATAGCAACATAGTAAAATGAAGGAGAAAAGAGGCGAATAATAGGTGGCAAATATACTGGGTTATTCTGGTTGGAGTTTATGTCTCCGAAAGGCTGTTCTGTAAGTCTCAAATGCCTGAGTTGATTATGAGGCATTTTGTGCTCGCCTGGTTTGCTTGTTTACAGGTTGGTCGCAGTAAATTATCGCGGACCTGGTTTTTGCTTTGTGGGGAATTCAGACAAAATTAGTAGGGTAGTTGGAGTAAGGAAGTTAGTAACCCTGCTCGCGAAGTCACAAGCGTGGTTTTGGTTGACTCAGTCGATTAAAATGAATCTGTATTTTGCCGAAACATAAATTAGGGACGTAGTTGGCGGTGGCCATTACGACGTCCAACATCACTGTGAAAGGAAGTCCAGGCGTAAAGGAATGATGTCAGCTGGACATCGGGGATAAGATTGACAAAGGTGATTATATAAAAACCGTCGGATCGTCAAGATTTGCACAAACAGATATAGTTAGAAACTGGGGAGACTTCGCAGTTACGTTTCTAAATTGATATAGTACGCAGTTTGAGCACGACTGAAATTATAAGCGATTACGAAGGTGAAATATGCGCTCACGCTATTTTCAGAATTGAATACAGAGATAAAAATAGACTTCCAACGGTAAAATTCGATGTGACGCTCCCCGACGTAAATCAACCAAGTCAGATCAAAGGTTCCCTCCGAAGAACTGCTATTACGAGTGTTAAGGAGCATGTTTGCGCCGCCAGTGCCCTAGCTCCTTCTGCGAAACAAATAAGACATGGCAATACTCGTAAGGATTAAGGGTACGTTGAAGTGATTCTAACATAAGGATTATTCTCGAAGAACCCCTCTGTATTGGTAGAAAGTGCAACAAGGATCAAGGATATCCACGGAACTACTTGGAGACAAATTAACTGTCAAGTCAAGTCAGGTTTATTAACGGAAAATATAGGTGAATGGCTTTGAACTCCCTATTAGTACAGAGGAGCTATGAAATGCATTACATGATGGCAGAAGTGTCAACAGGCTTCGAAGAGTTGTTGCACCTTATGTAGGCCACTAATTCGATATAGCTAAATGGTTTGGGTTATGATTGTGTGAATGGCAGCGGCAATTGATAAATGTATTGCACTTTAGCCTGCTCACCATAACAGGCAATAAATTCAACTCAGTTCTTTATAAAAACCCGGTACTTCCGGCATGTATATATAGTTTGTCCCTATCTCTGATAAGCAATATGTTAACCTTATCGGTTATCTGCGTCAGCTTCTTAGCCTACATTTGCACCGACAGCAGATAGTCGAGTTAAAAGTAAAAACTTCCCAGAATCATGGCAAATGACGTCCTCGTTCACAAAAATACAGAAAAAGGCGGCAAAATCGACGCATTTTGCTTTTATCGTTTTCATTAAATCGCTGAGTTAAAAATTGAAGATGCAAATATACGCAAAAGAGTAAAGGGCCTGGTAGTTTATAACGTTTGACAGCATATGCTTCCAATACTTTCCGGTTTAAAATACCTTTTCTAGCTTGTTCGTCAGGCGACTTCCATAAAAGTTAAAGAGAAAACGTTTCTCTAACTTCTCGAGTATGATGCGCATGGCCAGGGATATAGTTCGCCGTCCTGTAAGCGCTCCTCTGTAAAGGCGTTTTGCAGAAGTCAAGGCAAAAATGAGGTATTATCACCGAGAGGCCGGTGAACGTAAGACAAAAACGGGTTGTGGATATCTAATAACAAACGGCAAAGACACTCTAAAGGAATCAAACTAAAGGCAAAAGTCTACCGAAGGACTTAATAGGGAAATGAAAAAAATCTGTAACTGCGGCAAAATTTTCGACGTTTATAAAAAAAATACTTGCAATTGGCACTCAAAAACCAAAAGGATACGGAACTCTGATATTTGACAGCAAATTATACAAATCGCAGAATCTTTTGAGGATATGTTCGTCCCACAGGCAACTGTCACCAGTCTCATTGTTGGGAGATGACCGAATTTTTGGCAACTCCATACACGTCAGCACGTTCTTAAACTCGCTGGTAAGGAGTAACTTTGGCTACATAGCTTACTTTATAAATGAAGCCAACATAGCGTAGTAGTAGGGAGGAAGATTGGGATGTGGATGGCTTGTAGAAGAGTCATTATAGGCACCTAAGTGTCTAGAGAGTTGTGTAAAGGCGTCAAGGGCCATGTCAACATTGCCAAGAACGCGAGCGGCGTCAACTTCCGATCTACAATGTGATAGATAATTTCTGAGGAACGATACGAATGTTATTAATTAAGCCCCGATATAAACCCTTACTCTAACATAACGAAATGAAAGAGACATAAGGAAGTACGAGAACCTAAACAGTGATTAGACAAGAAAAATTGGTTCTTTTAAGAGAGTAAAATGTTATGCTACTAAAGGGAAATACGTATGAAAATGCATAAACAAAGTGGCCTATCCTGTGAATAAGGTACTTCAAAAAGCATTCTTTCACAGTCAACTTTAAAAAATGCAAAAGGCATCTGAATGCACGAAAGAAGGGTGAAATTCAGTTTAAGAACAGCCATCAGTGGGCACGAACCTGTAGCGAGAAAGGGTTTCCTGGATCTCCAATGAGTGCAGATTATTTTCCAAGTCATCGATTTTATGGACCAATGGAGTAACAAAGTTTAACACCTCATCAGAACGTTCGACTTCGAGTTCTAGTGAATCCAATAGGCCTGGGACAGAACCACATGTATTTTCAATCTCTGCTGTCAAATTTGTCGCATCTCGCACTATTTTCGTAAGTACTGATTCCTCGTTATCTAACAAGACCTTAAGATATTAGCGGTATTAGCACCACAAAATAACAAACCAATTCTTGAAGAAGTTTAATTTTGATTTCGAATTCATTTATCATGTTTCTAAGTTTTGATGAAAGAGATTTTGGCGATGCAAGCGCATTGTTCAGCAGAGTACTGTACTTCGAAGTCATGTTGCCCCATACCTCAAAATTCGCAAAGCCCAAAGACCACAAAAAATATTTTCCTTCTTCCGCCCCAATTTCAGCCAATTATAACTGCCTGAAAGTAATGGTTCGGAATTTGTCGGTGTATAAAGTATTCTTGAATAACCCACCGACTTTTAATTGGAATCTGCCCCCACACTTGGTCCTATAGGATAGTATACTAAAGAAAATTAAAATAAGCTGGTTTGTGACACCGATTGTGTTGTAAATGTAGCCAAAGCCGTGATGTCGCCGCGTAATTACGCCTTCCCTAATAGCAATGTTCCCGCACTAAAGGATAGAATGATTACAGTGGGACCAAATGATAGAGACGAATAGCTTTGGTCCTACTGCGCCGTGATTGCGTATATGGGCGGTATTCCGTGCG